ATATGGGACCGTTGTTGTTTACAATTTTTGTTAACGATGTAATTTCTCTGATAAATAATCAATGTGATGTCTATATGTATGCCGACGATGTCAAAATTTTAAAGGTCATAAGTAATGAGTACGATTGCTTTGTATTGCAGAGTATTGTGAATAAGTTTTTTGAATGGTGTCTTGAGAATAAATTAGAAGTGAATGTTAATAAATGTAGAATTATGTCATATAGTCGTAAAGTTAATACTATTTTGTTCAATTACAAGATAAATGATTAGTCACTAATTAGGTGTACCTACTGAGTTTAAAGACCTGAGAGTTGTGATGGATCAGTCTTTATCATTCACACCACATATTACACATATTAGTGAAAAGGCGATGAGAATACTAGGTTTTATAATACGTAACACAAAGGATTTCACCAATGTTGACTGTATTGTAATGCTTTATTGTGCGTATGTTAGGTTTGTTTTAGAATATTGTTGAATCATCTGGAATCCTTTTTATATTACACTCGAAAAAATTTGTTTTTATGTTCCCCGTTCAGGATCTAGGAATCCGAGAACTTTCCTGTGTGATATGGCTCGCACTAATCAACATTATTATTCACCAGTTAACAATATGTGCAGAATATACAATAGCATACAACACCTATGTGATATATTTGTAGAGTGTCAAAATGAATTTATTGCTGGCGTTAAATTAGCATTATATTAAAAAAAAATTGGGTTAAGTTTACTATTAGTTATTATTATGTCCTATGTGGGCGATTTTCTGAAAATAATTTCTAATTTTACTTTGACATTTGGATTTTGCATGATTAATCCAAAGACGCGATCGTCGAACTTTGACAATGCAACGGAACATTTCGCAACAAATCGGCACGGGCGCGAATTTCAAAATACGATTTTTAAAACCTTTTTACAGTGAATGAGCGCGATGCAACGCAACGATTTGAAAAAAATACTGGCCGGTAATCCTCTTCGACCTCCACAAAGGCATCACTCAATAATAGCTTTAAAGTGATCTGGGGAGATATTATAAAATAAAAACCAATTCCCATGTTAATTCCCTATATCCTGACTTGGATGCGGCAAGCTGTATAATCCCCGCACTTACATCAAAATTTATTAAATTACATGCTAAAGAAACTTTCATTTTGTTAGAATGATTCAGATTGTACAAATCACTACTTAATTTTGGTGCTAATTTTCGAAATCTTCTTGAAATTCCGCAAAGTCTTCAATGTATTTAACGTTAACCTCCTTGCTTGGTAATGCATATTTATTAACAAACTCGTCCGGAATTATTATAATTTTGTTATTTACCAATGCAGACCTAATATTTTTGTAAATGTTAGAAGAATCTGCCATTAAATATAATATATATTTGCACAACATTTTCAATAAAAAAGTTTTATTTTAAGCAAAAAAGCGTTAAATAAGCATAACACTTTGATTAAAATAGTTTTATTTTAAGCAAAAAAGCATTAAAAACATAATCATATTACAAATCAAAGAACACTTCTTAGAACTTTGGATAAAATATTATTACAATAATCCTAGACTTTATATTTTACACACGTATTTCAGTTTTCTTTAAAACAATTTACGATTGTAATATGTTCCAAGTTGTCCACTGTAAAATTTTTTCGCCGATCATTTAAAATGTGTTTAAAATTGGAGAATTTGCGTTCAACATCCACACTCGTTGTTGGCGCAAATTTGAATTTTGCAACTAATGTTGAATCTAACTCCAAATTTTCCACCTTCTGGACTTGTAAAACACGAGCAACGTCGGAAAGAACACCGAAACCTGCATTTTTATTTAACACTTCGTCAATTTTTTGAGATACTCTAATAGTGCCAGTATCACCCCTTACTGCGTTTGCTTGTTGTTTAAATTATTTCACTAAGTTTATGGCATCTACCAACAACATGTTGGGTTTTTCTAACTTTTCTATTACCTCACATACGAATTGATAATTGCTTCTTAGAAAAGCTAGATCTTGTCGCAAATCTTTGTTTTCCAAAATATTTATGCAATCTTTAATCGATTGAGAAGAATCTTCGCTAAACTCCGTAACTACTTCTTCAAATTCTTTGATATATTTGTCATAATAAAGTGTGGCCTGTAACCATGTTCCCCACATCGTTATAATCGGCTCTGGGGGCAATGGTATGTTTGGAAATTTTTCCTTAAAATATTGCACTCTTAGTGGGGCTTTAACAAAAATCTTTTTACCATTTGCCACTAATTTATTAACAGTAGGAAACTGCAAACGTATTCCTTCAGCCACTCTGTTTAAACCGTGGGCAATGCAAGTAGAGTGAATTAAATTGGGGTACAATATTTTTAGATTATTCCCTGCTTTCAACATATAACGAGCTGCATCCGAGATCATCAATAAAATTTTATTCGCCGGTACGGCATTTGGCAAAAATAGTGACGTAAGACTGTCATTTACAAATTTGGTAATCGTATTGCCATTTGTTTTATCTAACATTTTCAAACTTACTACATACCCTCCACTAGGGAAATTTTCATTTAAGATTCCAACAATTAAACTTGCCACGTATCTTCCACAACTATCGGTTGTTTCATCGACAGCGAACCATAAATAATTATCTCCAATGCGATGTTTAATTTCGTTGTAAACTTGTTGAAACACTGGGCCTATATAATTTTTTCGGAGAGTACTTTCAACCGGAATATGTCGATTGCAGTGTTTTTCAAGGAATTCTTGAAGGGGGCCATTCTCCAATTTTTTTAAAGGTATATTGGACTGGATCATTTTACATAAATCGAAATTAAACTGAAACTGCTCATCTTTTGTGGAAGTAGATGCAACAGATTCATGTATGGTCTGCTGTTTAATTTTAGAAACTTCAAAGATTTTCTTCCTTTCTACATGAAGAGTCGTTCTGACATGTTGCGTCACGTTATATTTTTTATCACTTTGAATCTAAAACAAGGTACATATACAGGGTTAACAAAGGAAAATAGATTAAAAAAAATTAGTGGGCTTACGGTTTTCACACAAGCTCTGCAGAATATTTTGTTGTTTTCTAATTTCAATTCTGGAATATCCCATATCCACTCATCCGGCGTCGATTTTACTTTCGGCATTCTTTTAAAATATTAGTAATATTACCAAAAAGAACTCAACATGTAACAAGGGAGAACCACGTATAACACTGTACTACGACAGATGCGATAGGCTGATGGTTGTGAAATAAACGGTTCATTTACTTAAAAAATTCCATTAGAAAAATTTTAAGGTAGGTAGTTGGGTACAATAATCCTTTTTTCTAGAAAATCTTCAACGGTTTTGCCGCAAAATGCCGAAAAAGAACATCTGGTTAAAAGCTTTAATTCATTATCAACGGAAATAAGGATTTAAAGTCATAAAATCTATGGAGTATTTTTCCAATCCTACAATGAAATTTTATTACCCAAACGACCGGAACCTATTCACAGAAAGGGTTTTGAGTAAGTGTACTTCAATGGTCAAGTCCAGGTAAAATGCATACGATCCGATACGCCTAACAAACAAGTATTTGTCATCCCAACCAGGCCGGCATTTAAACAAAATATGCATTAAAACTCATATTCTTCGAAAAAAGCATTAAATAATCATGTAAGTTTTAATATGCATAAAATTGAAAAAAAACAAATAAGCATAAAAAAAAATGTGTCAAATGACTCCAAATTTTATCATAGTTACAGATATAAAAAGTTTTGAATTGCTTAAGAATGAGTGGCTATCGCTGAAAAGTTTTCCAGGGTTTCATATCCTAGTATGGTAGAGGAAGCTGTGCAGTATTGTTTTCCAGGCGTTAAAGCCGTCTCATCTAAATATAAACAACAGTCTTTAACATAGTCTTTAAAATCTTTAACTTTTAAATTTAAATAACAAAAAATTTTGGCTAATATGTCTGGGTAGAATTTGATATGCTCTATTTTGCTACGTATTGTACGCGAATATGGTAATAAATAATTTAATTTTAATAAAGATTCATAACCTGAAGAACCACAAGAAAATTTAATGGACACTGCTTTTTCTACAGTCTCGAGGCTCCACCTCCTCAATTTTTTTTTTTATTTAAGTGTATTTGTAATTACTTCTTTATTCACTCCAAAATCATTGTCATTAATATTTAATTTTTTCTTTTAAACAACAAATTTCGTCTTCTTTCTGCTGCAACAAATTTTGGTAGTACTTTCCTAAACACTCGATTTGCGCTAATAATTCTTTTTCGGTGGCTATTAAATTTTGAATTTTGATATTTTGTCCACTAATTATTATTTGTTGTTTTCAATGTTTGACTTTTTACTTTATCATTCCATGTTCGTGTTTATAGTTCCAGAGATAAATGTACTTAATCTGTCCAACAGAGTAACCGCAAACAGACAGAGGGGCGGAAAAGGGAACATCATTTACGTACTTCCCGATCTGTGAAATCGTTCTAGCCCCGAAATCAGTCATTTGTCTAATAATCTTATCACAACATTTCCTTTATCCGGCATTCTATAGGCTAAAATATCCACCCTTTCCCAGCACCGGCTCCCCACGGTTTGAACTTCGCTCCCATTATCACTGTTATAACAAGTAATCTCTCAAATATCTTATCATTAGCAGATGTTCGATCAATCCCGCATCATATGACGTGACTGTTAATTAAAACGAAACTCTAGAGACTCCACCAGATCTCCTTCTCCTTTTCCATCGACATCCGATAATTATACTTCCGCTGGAACGACAGCATCTCATACAAGCCAAAATAATAATTAATGTCTAAAAATGGCTCGCAAAGAGCAAACTCAAACCTTTGTTTCTAGCATAATATCCGAAGTTCCGCGTCGCCACTAATTAAAATTACGACGAAATTTTAATTAGTACTCTCTACCAGTTGCTTTTTCCTTTTCCGTCTCCTCTTACAGCTTAATTAAATTAATTTGTGAAGTTAAGCGTAGATCTTTTTTTGATATGCTTGATTTAAACGCAGGCTTAAAACCGGATGGAGCGTGAAAACGGCGTCACTTAGTTGCCATGGAAGTTCGGTTAGTCAGCCGCTGGGGCCCGAAGAACAAGAGGCGATCGTCAATGTTATCAAAAGAGCGGAGGAAGTGGATCTGACGGAACAGGAGAGGGTAAGAAAATGATAAAAACGGAACTTACGGGACAAACAAAAGTTGCTTGTTGATGTCGTGATACAGGTAGGAGATAACAGAAATTCACAGCGCTCTCTGTGTGTTTATACAATGTTTTTAAATTTTTATTGTCAACTTGGTTGACTTTAATTAAAGTCCGCACCAGACTAACCGAGCCGCTAAGCAAATACGTTATTAAATCGTAGTTTGCGTCTCTCATTGTGGTAATATTGACACAGCTTACTTGAGGAACTACCGACAAAAGAAGTACGTTCTCCTTCTTCCTAATCCAATTTATTCAAAAAATTATTTAAGTGTTTAAAAAATCTTTCTTTAGGTGGGCCGCCTCATCGAACGCCTCGAAAACATGAGACGCAACGCCCTGGGCAGAAACCCATCACAGTGTTTATTGTGCGGAGATGGTTTTGGAATGCTTGGGGCCCAAAAAGTGCTTTGTATAGACTGCAAGCGACTAGTTTGTCAAAAATGCGCCATCGAATCATGCACCACAAAAAATACTAGGTAAATCCTTTATTAATTTATAACACACTTATTTAATTTAATAATTATTATCTAACTTTACTGCTGGAGCATAATTACCGTAGCACGAACCTAAAACTATTAAAATAATTTACGATCTTTGCTTAGCGCAAGACTTTTCAGACTGGTTTAATAGCGCGCAACTTGAGTATAAGTACTTACGCAAATATTCCTCTTGACTTTAGTCTTCTATAAATCAAACTTAATCCACAGAAACGTCGGTAAAATTCATTGCGCTTAAATAAACATTTGCTGGAGTCTGAGATGGCTTAAACGTGAAAAAAACTAAAACTGTTTTTTAATTTATACGCCAGAAGCGCGATTCCAATCGATGCAAATTAAAAGCTGCTCGGTGAAAAAATACGGTCGTATTTGGATCATGTCGGCTAATTAGTCTTAATTGTTATGCAAGATCGCTTAATTAGGCCAATAAAATCTACACAGAAACAAGAAATAAAGCATTAATTGTTTCCAATTGAGGGTTTTCAACAACAATCTTGCGTTCATTATTATTATAACAGCAGGTTGTTGGTGCGTGCGATGAAATAATTTTAAAATAAATATTTAAAAAACAAAACTCTTTGATAAATGTGGCAGCTACTTATTAGACCTTTTATTGCTGTGTTTGAGACAATAGTATAGTAAGAACACTATTTTTACATACTGATAAAATTTTAGAACCTAAAAATCTTATATTAAGGCCATAACCCGTCAAACCATAAATTATAGGTTCTTGGATATTTTTGTGCTTTGGAAACATTGTGTTCTACTTTGTATGAATTTTTAAATGTTTTTAATGACAATTTTTGTGGTCATTTTCGATACATTGTGTGATATTAAAACTGAGAAAAAAATGAAATATTAAAATAATCGAAAATTTGTAAAATCGGAAACCTGAAAAAAAGAGAAATCTAAAAATCGAAAAACCAAGATGTCAAAAATCGAAACAAAAAACCGTAAAACCGAAAAACTGATAAATGTAAAATTTAAAAAATCGAAAAACTGAGAAATTGGATAATTGAAAATCGAAACTTCGAAAAACCGAAAAATCGAAACACCGAAAGTCCAAAAAGCAAAAATCGAGAAATCGAGAAGTCGAAAAATCGAAATATTAAGAAATCGAAACATTTGAAAAATTCGAAAACTTGAAAAATTGAAATATTGAAATATCAAAAAATTGAAAAATCTAAAATTTAATATCGAACAATTGCAAAATCGAAAAAGTAAAAAGATCGACACATGGCAAAAACCAAAAATCAAAAATCTAAAAATCAAAGAATCCAAATATTGCAAAATCTCAAAACTGAAATATCGAAAAAGTGAAAAATGAAAGAAAATGAAAAATCCCAAAACTGAGATATCCAAAACTGAGAATCTAAAAAAATGAAATATTGACAAATCGAAATATCAAAAATGTGAAGTCGAAAAATCGAAAAATTGAAAAATCAAAAACCTGAAAAGTCGAGAAATCTAAAAATCGAAAAAGCAAGATGTCAAGAAATCGAAACATAAAAAAATCGTAAAACCGAAAAATTGAAAAATCGAAAAACTGAAAAATCAAAAAACCGAAAATCCGAAAAGTAAAAATCGGAAAACTGAGAATCCAAAAATCAAGAGATCGAGAAATCGAAAATTTAAAAAATGAAAAATTGCTAAATAGAGAAATTGAACAATCAGAACATCAAAACATCCAAATCTCGATAAATCGAAAAATCAAAAAATTTAAAAATTCGAAAGAATTGAAATATTAGGAAATCGAAAAATCAAAACATCGAGAAAACGAAAAGCTAAAAGTTGAAAAATTAAAAAGTCGAAAAATCGAAAAGCGGAAAATTAGACAAATGGAAAAATGGAAAAACTGAGAAACCGAAATAGGCCAAAATTAAATATTGAAACATCAAATCTCGATAAAGCGGGAAATCAAAACATTGAAAAATCGGAAAATTTTAAAAATGAAAAATTAAATCGAAAATTGAAAAAACGAAAAATCGGAAAACAGAAAATCTAAAACCTGGAAGTCGAAAAATCTAAAGATTAAGAAATCGAAACGTTTGAACAATTGAAATATCGAAGAACTGCAATAAAAAATAGAGAAATAAAAAAAATCTGAAATTTTAAAAATCGAAAAAGTAAAAAGATCTGAAATGAAACATCGAGAAATCGAAAAATCGAAAATTTTAAATATTGAAAAATCAAAATATCAAAAAACTGAAAAATCTAAATTTTAAAATCGAAGAATTGAAAAAACGACAATTGAAAAACAGAAAAATTGAAAGATTAAGAAATCGAAACATTTGAAAAATTCAGATATGGAAGAGCTGAAATGAAAAATCAAGAAATCGAAAAATCAAAAATTTTCAATATCGAAAAATTAAAATACCAAAAAATTGAGAAATCTAAAATTTAATAATCGAAAAAGTAAAAAGTCGACACATCGAAAAATCCAGAAGTCAAAAATCGAGAAGTCGAAGAATCCAAATATTGAAAAATCTCAAAACTGAAATATCAAAAAACTGAAAAATGAAAGAAAACTGAGATACCAGAAACTGGGAAGATAAAAACTCAAAAATTGAAGAATGGAAAAACCGAAAAATTTCAACTCTGAAATATCCAAAAACTAAGAAATTAAAAAATTGAAAAAATGAGAAATCAAAAAGGCAAAAAGTGAAGTCGAAAACTCGTAACTTTAAAAAATTGAAAAATCAAAAACCCAAAAAATTGTGAAGAATTGAAGAAATGAAAAATCAAAAAAGTGAAGTCGAAAAATCGAAACCTTAAAAAAATCGAAAAATTGAAAAATCAAAAATCTGAAAAATCGAAAAATTTGAAGAATTGAAGAACAAGAAAATCGAATCAGTCGAAAGTCAAGAAATGGGGAAATGAGAAAACCAAAACATCGATTATTTGAAAAACCGAAAATTTGAGGATATAAAAAAGTCAAAAACTGAAAAATTGAAAAATCGAATTATTTAAAAATCGGAAAATTGAAGGGAAAAATTGAAAAAACTTAAACTGAAATATCGGAAAATTGAGAAATCGAGAAATTGAAAAATTGTAAAATAGAAAAATTGAATAGTAAGTATTGTGAAAAATCTTAAACCTGTTTTCCAAAAATTAAAAAATGAAAGATAAATTGAATAATAGAAAAACTGAAAAATCTCAAAACTGAAATATCCAAAAACTGAGAAATTAAAAAATTGAAAAAAATGAGAAATCAAAAAGTCAAAATAGTGAAGTCTAAAAATGAAAACGTAAAAAATTGAAAAATTGAAAAAATTTAAAAATAGAAGAAATGAAAAATCCAAGAACTGAGAGTTTATAAAAGTCAAAAATTAGAAATCGAAATATTTAAAAGTCGTAAAATTGAAGAGGAGAAAAATTGAAAAAAGCCTAAAACTGAAACATCGGAAAATTGAGAAATCGAAAAACTGAAAATCTAGAAATTGAAAAATTGAGAAATAGTAAAATCGGAAAATTGAATAATAAATAAACTGAAAAATCTCGAAACTAAAATATGCAAAAACTTGAGAAATGAAAAAATTGAAAAATTGAGAAATCGAAAAATTGAAAATGATGAAATTGAAAAATTGCGAAATTGTAATATCGAAAAATTGAAAAATGAGAGAAAAACCAAAAAATCCCGAAACTGAAACATTTAAAAACTGAGAAATTAAAACATCGAAAAAAAAAGTGAAAACGAAAAATCGAAACCTCAAAAAATAGAAAAATTGTAATATCAAAAACCTGAAAAATCGAAAAATTGAATTATTAAAAAACTGAAAAATCGAAATAGTCGAAAGTCAAGAAATGGGAAAATCAAAAGGAAAATCAAAACATCCATTCATTGGAAAAGAGAAAAATTGAGAGTTTATAAAGATCAAAAATTGAAAAATCAAAATATTTAAAAATCAAATTTGAAGACGAGAAAAACTGAAAAAAACGTAAAACTGAAAAAAACGTAAAATTGAGAAATCGAAAAACTGAGAACCGAGAAAATGAACAATTGAGAAATTGTAAACTCGAAAAATTGAATAGCAAAAAATAATCTGAAAAATCCCAAAACTAAAATTTCGAAAAATTGAAAAATTAAAAAAAAACTGAAGAATGGAAAAACTGAGAAATTTCAAAACTGAAATATCCAAAAACTGGGAAATTAAAAAACTGAAAAATTAATTGGGAAATCAAAAATTCAAAAAAGTGAAGTCGAAAACTAAGAACCTTAAAAAATTTAAAAATCCAAAATCTAAAAAATCGAAACATTGAAAAATTGAAGAAATGAAAAATTGAAACACTGAGAGTTTATAAAAGTCAAATTTGAAAATCGAAAAATTGAATAACAAATAATCTAAAAAATCCCAAAACTGAAATTTCGAAAAATTGGAAAATGAAAGAAAAACTGAAGAATGGAAGAACTGAAAAATTTCAAAACCGAAATATCCAAAAAGTGGGAAATTAAAAAATTGAAAAATAAAGAAATCAAAAAGTCAAAAAAGTGAAGTCGAAAATTCAAAACCTTCAATAATAATTAAAAAATGAAAAACCTAATAAACTGAAAAACTGAGGAATTGAAGAAATGAAACATCAAAAAACTGAGAGTTTATATAAGTCAAATTTAAAAAATTGCAAAAACCAAATATTTAAAATTCCTACAATTGAAGAGGAGAAAATTGGAAAAACGTAAAATTGAATCATCGGAAAATTGAGAAATTGTGAAATCGATAAATTGACTGAAAAATCCTAAAACTGAAATTTCGGAAAATTGAAACAGAAAAGAAAAACTGAAGAATACCAAAACTGAAACGTCCAAAAACTAAGAAATTAAAAAATTACAAAATTGAGAATTCGAAAAAAAAAAAGTTGAAGTCGAAAAATCCAAACCTTAAAAAATAGAAAAATCGAAAAATCAAAAACCAGAAAAATTGAGAAATTGAATAACTGAAAAACTGAAAAATCGAAACGGTCGAAAGTCAAGAAATGGAAAAATCGAAACATCGATTAATTGAAAAATTGAGAGTTTATAAAAGTCAAAAATTGAAAAATCGAAATACTTAAAAATCGTAAAAGTGAAGAGAAGAAAAACTGAAATAACGTAAAACTGAAACATCGGAAAATTGAGAAATTGAAAACTGAGAAATCAAAAAGTCAAAAAAGTGAAGTCGAAAACTCAAAACCTTAAAAAATTTAAAAATCAAAATCCTAAAAGTTGAAAAATTGGAAAATTGAACAAATAAAAAATCGAAAAACTGAGAGTTTATAAAAGTCAAATTTGAAAAACTGCAAAAACCAAATATTTAAAAGTCCTAAAACTGAAATTTCGAAAAATTGAAAAATGAAAAAAAAAGCTGAAAAATCCCAAAACTGAAACATCCAAAAACTAAGAAATTAAAAAATTGCAAAATTGAGAAGTCGAAAAATCAAAAAAGTGGTCGAAAAATCCAAACCTTACAACAAAATTGAAAAATCAAAAATCTGAAAAATCGAAAAATTGAAAAACTAAAAAATCGAAACAGTCGAGAGTCAAGAAATGAAGAAAAATTAATGGAAAGTAGTTAGATCCTAACGTTCCCGAAAAATAAAAACAATTACACTTTTCCGAAAAAAATCTATTGCATGATAACGATTCCAAAAGTATTGTTGTTGGAATTTTGCTAATACCAAACATAATTAAAGAATTCTTTCTTAATTAAACAAAAAATAGTTGCATGTAAATAATTAATACATGTACCTACCAAAATGTTCCCTTATTCGGGCAGTATTTAATGTATTGGAAAATTGTACCCTTTTGTATTAAAAAACAGAAAATTGTTGTCATTTGCGGCGAAACTAAAAATAACACCACGCCTGTGATCTATCCGTTTAATAGACTGTGACACCATGTGTATACCTTCACTGAAATGTGTGTTCTGAAAAAAAAATGTACTTATTAGTGGACTTTTATGTCTACAATTGAATAATTAAAAAAAATTGTGTCGCCATTTTTTAACCAATTTATGAACGACGACGATAATCCAACAAGATGGAACGGCAGCTCATTCAGTAACACACACTTTCAAAATATAATGTCTTATTTATTATTCAGTTTTATTTTCGTTACGTCATGCGTGAACTACATTGGATAAAATTATGAAAATGGGTATCACGACTCAAAGTTCACAAATGCATACAAGACTGACTTTAATCCAACTGTGCTCTCACTAAAAACTTTCTTGCTTTGATGTTCAGAGAAGCGCGAAATAGATATCCATTTTAACGTGTTATTTAAAAGTTTTAGAGAACATTCATTAGAAATATCACACAGTTAAACGACGTTGTCGCATCTTTGTTCGCATACATCGGGCCATCAACATAATTTGTTATAGAGTCATCCGTGGAAAGGATGTCGGTCATTAAACCAAATGCAATATTATGCAAAATATGTTTAAAAAGAGAAGTTATATGGCCAAAACTTTTTTTTCTGAATATGCCGCATTTTAAGGAATCTGCATATTGCATCCAACCCAGGCCTTACTGATAAAGTCAAAAAGTGTAAACTCTTCAGTTGCAGAAACTACTGGTTGTGCTTAATATGTGCCGAAACCAGAGAAATCTGGAAGAAATCCGGAGCTTGGTTTTTCAAGAGCATCCCCAAATACATCCTCCCCAGCGAAAAAAGCTACCGCCAAGCCGGCAGCAAAATAATCCGGAACGCAAAAGCCGGCTACCGAGACGACGACAGCAGCTCCGACGAAGACCGAAAAGTATGGGGCAAAATCCACCGGAGAAATTCCAGTACGGAAAGCACGCACGGTATCACCCTTCCTCTTCTTTCATCTCTGTATTAGAATTAGTTGACCTCGGCTACTCAACAAGTTTAAAAAACTCTAGTAATTTTACACTTCCCGCTGACCCTCGTACACCCCTCAACTGCCCAATCAATAATTCAGCCCTCCAGACTTAATTATATCTCTTTAAACATTCAAAACCGCCAACCTCACTCTATAATTACGGAACTTTATTGGACGCTACCATCTTTTTATAACCCGTTGTTCGATACTTTCCAGATGTCCACGAGTCCGTCCAAGACATCCCTACGATGTCGACGTACAAGTAAGTATCGTCTTAGATTTTGAAACTGATGGTGATTTTCGGGTTGTGTCGACAGCAGGCAGACCAGTACGAGTGATTCGCAGTTGACGAAAGACGTAGAACCCTTGAAGGGGTATATGGGGGCGATGAGTTTGGCGGAAAAATCCTGGGAAAAGGATCAAGTGTCGGGGGAGAGCTCGGAGGCTTCCCGCAGGGAATCCACGGTGAGTCGTTCGCTGTCGGAGTGGAATTGGAGCGACAGCAGAAGCGAGGAGAAGGTTTCACCGAGTACATCGAGTGTCAGCAGTATTTTCAAGGTTAGTTGGATTTTTTATAACCGAATTTATTTTTTTAATACTAAGGGGTATAGAAATTTGAACGAATAAACAGACAAGAGAGATAGATTTACCTTGTAGATGGGTAATTTAATCATGATTACAGAAGTGTTATTGATTGCTTAAAATTAGACTCCATAGAATTATGGAATAAGATCCTTAAATAATTATGGCTGAAATACAACAGTGTACATAATAAGGCATCCAGACGTCTATTTTCGTATATTTCATTGATGGTTTTCTTGTATATATTTAACATACGTTATTTAGTATCAGAAATTCTACGTTTTCATGTACAATATCAAATGTGTGTGTAAGAAACTAAATAGCAGCCTATATACCTACTTATTTCTTAATACCTTATAAGTGTGTTTTGACACCCTATATTTTTTTTAGAGATATTCTGTTAACTTATTTACACATATTTGGTATGAAGTATAATAAGAAACGGATTAACAATTGCTTCAAATATGCGAATGCATTGATAAAGAGCAAAGTTAGTATTTCTAATGAGTGCCATTTGAAAATATTCCGATCAACATTTCGGAAAGAAGATGTATGTCATTTCCGACACGTGCACTGTAATACTTGGATAATAAAATAACTGGGGTGCACCAGATAATAGCAGTATATTATTCTATAAAATTTAAATTCTACTACTATGTGAATATTCCTAACAAACATATAAGACTTGACAACAATCGGTCCGGTAATTTTGAAGATTATCTAGCTAATAAAACTGCAAACAGACAGACAGAAACGGGAGACTTATTTTTTCGTACTCTAGTCATCATAAAATGTCGAGAAAGTAGCCGATGGACTCTTTCTTAGTAAATTATTATTCGCTTTATCATTTCGTCTTGAAATGCCACCACTGATAATTGTCAAATCGGATAAAACGCTTTTATTCTGAGAACATAGTTTAGCGAGAAAACGAAAACATCATTGCTTGAAATTGTCGAAACATCTTGTTGAATTTCGTAACTGTCAAGGAAAAATAGGTCAATTTACAGCGAAAGTAGTTTGCGAAAAGCTGCAATATTATAAAAACATTTTCTCGACTCTTCATGACCCCTTGAGTGCACAGAAATAGGTCTGCCGGTTCCGTCTGTCTGTCTGCCCATCTGTCCGTCTATTATAAAAATATCGTAGACAATTCGCAAAATTTATACTTCAGACCAGATACGTTTTCTGTCTGTCCGTCTGTCTGCCGTCTATCCTGATTTTTATTAGACAGATAAAGGCATGGTAAATTGTTAATCAAAATATATGTGTTTATTCCCCCCAAAAAATTGATGACGTCATCTCAAAATTGTACCCAAAATGTACAAAATATGATGAGTCTTTACTTTCGGTTTATCACTGCATTCATATCTTTTAGATTTGCTTATACAGATGGCTCAAAAAAATTAATGAATGAGTCAACTTATTTTATTGATTAAATCAAAAACGGCTCACTCCATTTACCCAAAAAATTTTGGAAATATAATACTGTTAATTTTAAGTTTTCGTTGTACACTAAATAAAATAACCCAATGAAATGGAGAAAGGAGGTGGGCAGGGCTAAATGTAGCTTTTCTCTAGTTTTATCAGCAAAGAGTAGCCCCGCCCACCCACCTTTTCTTCGTTCCAGTCACTACTCTTAATATTGTTCAGTCATATCTTAGCAAGTTTTAGCCCCGCCCACTCACCCTTTTTTTCCTTAGAAGATATGTCATTTACCAAAATCAATCTTATTTTAAACAGTACTAGCCCCACCCACCCGCCCTCTATTTTCTTAGAGAACATATCGTTTGCCACAGTCACTCCTATCTTAGCAAGTACTAGTCCCTCCCACCTCCCTGTATTTTCTTAGAGGGTAAGTCATTTACTAAAATCAACCTTATCGTAGAAGATACTAGCCCCACCCACACACGCTGTTCTCATTCTCATGATTTATCTCTCTTCTTATTTCTGAAGAACAAAATGAGAGAACGGGTGGGTGGGCGGGGCTATGTTTAACTTTTTCATACAGAAATTTTTATAAGCAAGCAATAGACCCGCCCACCCACACCCTCTTCATTCCAGTGATTACTCTCAATAGTGTTGAGTCATTTACCAAAATCAATTGTATTTTAACAAATACTAGCTATGCCCACCCGCCCTCTATTTTCTTAGAGAATATATCGTTTGCCACAATCAGTCTTATCTTAGCAAGTACTAGCCCCTCCCACCCACCCTGTATTTTCTTAGAGGGTAAGGCACTAAAATCAACCTTATCTTAGCAGATACTAGCCCCACCCACACACGCCGTTCTCATTCTAACGATTTTATCTCTCTTCTTATTTTCGAAGAGCCAAATAAGAGAACGGGTGGGTGGGCGGGGCTAAGTTTAATTTTTTCACTCAGAAATTTTTATAAATAAATAAGTAAATAAATAAATAGTTTATTGATCATCCAACGGGCAAATCGCCCACAAAGGACATAATAATAACTAATAGTAAACTTAACCCACAAAAACAAAAAATTTTAATATAATGCTAATTTAACGCCAGCAATAAATTCAATTGGAGACACTACAAATATATCACATAGGTGTTGTATGCTATTGTATATTCTGCGTTTATGCAGAAAAATAACAGAGGAAAATTCACGCCTACTTTGGAGATGAACAAGATTGAACTCATTTATCAGCTCATGCAAATTGTTCTTTGATTTGTAATATGATTATGTTTTTAATGCTTTTTTGCTTAAAATAAAACTTTTTTATTGAAAATGTTGTGCTTATTTAAGCGCTTATTCTTAGTTTTTTTGTGCTTATAAATCCGGTCTCTACTTATCACTTTAGAGGAAATTTCACAAGTGGATAATCATTGGGAGATCACAAAATAATTAATAATTTTAGCCACAAAAACGACTTTAAATATTGTAAATATTAGGACAGATATGGGTGCAACAAATCAGGCGATGTGGAAATATTTTGGCATTAAATCTAAAAAAATTGTTCTTCAGAATTTCATTTCTAATCCAGCTGATGAATCAAAAAATATATATTATATTTCATGGCAGATCCTTCTAACATTTACAAAAATATTAGGTCTGCATTGGTAAATAACAAAATTATGGTAATTCCGGACGAGCTTGTTAATAAATATGCATTACCAAGCAAGGAGGTTAACATTACATACATTGAAGACTTTGCGGAATTTCAAGAAGATTTCGAAAATTAGCACCAAAATTAAGTAGTGATTTGTACAATCTGAATCATTCTAACAAAATGAAAGTTTCTTTAGCATGTAATTTAATAAATTTTGATGTAAGTGCGGGTATTATACAGCTTGCCGCATCCAAGTCTGGATATAGGGAATTAACATGGGAATTGGTTTTTATTTTATAATACCTCCCCAGATCACTTTAAAGCTACTATTAGTGATGCCTTTGTGGAGGTCGAAGAGGGCTATCGGCCAGTATTTTTTTCAAATCGTTGCATCGCGGTCATTCACTGTAAAAAGGTTTTAAAAATCGTATTTTGAAATTCGCGCCCGTGCCGATTTGTCGCGAAATGTTCCGTCGCACTGTCAAAGTTCGACGATCGCGTCTTTGGATTAATCACGCAAAATCCAAATGTCAAAGTGAAATTAGAAATTATTTTCAGAAATCAACGAACCACTCAAACTGAACTATTTTATGCAGTTTGATAAATAAATAAATAAATAAATAAATAGTTTATTGATCATCTAACGGGCAAATCGCCCACATAGGACATAATAATAACTAATAGTAAACTTAACCTAAAATTTTTTTAATATAATGCTAATTTAACGCCAGCAATAAATTCATTTGAACACTCTACAAATATATCACATAGGTGTTGTGTGCTATTGTATATTCTGCACATATTGCTAACTGGCGAATAATAATATTGATTAGTGCGAGCCATATCACACAGGAAAGTTCTCGGATTCCTAGATCCTGAACGGGGAACATAAAAACAAATTTGTTCGAGCAAGACATTGTCATTAATTATATTATGTAGGAGTTTATACAGAAAACTAACAGAGGAAAATTCACGCCTACTTTGAAGATGAACAAGATTGAACTCATTTAACAGCTCATGCTGCGAAAATCCTTGGATAGGGTAAACACCGTATTTTTTGTAGAAAGCATACTCACAGAATTACCTCTGCACTTTTTCCAAGACCTGTATATATGTAATATAAAAAAAACTTTTTTATTGAAAATGTTGTGCTTATTTAAGCGCTTTTTCTTAATTTTTTTGTGCTTATAAATCCGCTCTCTACATCACTTTAGAGGAAATTTCACAAGTGGATAGTCATTGGGAAATCACAAAAGAATTAATAATTTTAGCCACAAAAACGACTTTAAATACTGGAAATATTTTGGCATTAAATCTAAAAAAATTGTTCCTCAGAATTTCATTTCTAATCCAGCTGATGAATCAAAAAATATATATTATATTTCATGGCAGATCCTTCTAACATTTACAAAAAATTAGGTCTGCATTGGTAAATAACAAAATTATGATAATTCCGGACGAGCTTGTTAATAAATATGCATTACCAAGCAAGGAGGTTAACGTTAAATACATTGAAGACTTTGCGGAATTTCAAGAAGATTTCGAAAATTAGCACCAAAATTAAGTAGTGATTTGTACACTCTGAATCATTTTAACAAAACGAAAGTTTCTTTGCCACGTAATTTAATAAATTTTGATGTAAGTGCGGGGCTTATACAGGGTGCCGCATCCAAGTCTGGATATAGGGAATTAACATGGGAATTGGTTTTTATTTTATAATATCTCCCCAGATCACTTTAAAGCAATTATTGAGTGATGCCTTTGTGGAGGTCGAAGAGGGCTATCGGCCAGTATTTTTTTCAAATCGTTGCATCGCGCTCATTCACTGTAAAAAGCTTTTAAAAATCGTATTTTGAAATTCGCGCCCGTGCCGATTTGTTGCGAAATGTTCCGTTGCATTGTCAAA